ATCTTAATGACAAAAACAGTGCTCAATCAATCAGGCCAGAAGATGAGAAATGCCAACAAGGAGCAATTAAACAGCAATCAAGACCAATTGCACTTTTAACACTGATCACCAAAGCGTAGAGATTAAGCTGAAGAAATGTACTTTATGATGCTTCTTCTCATGGTTTAAAAGCCTCTCATTTTTAATGGGGAAGGACAGAAAAATATAATCTACTACATCATATCAACTCTATTGAACTAGGTCTCTGTTCTTCAAATGTGTCACCTTTAAAATATGTGGACTTCATGCTGGCTGGGGAATAAATGGGTGTTGATGTCCACATACCTTAAAGGGGCCATGTTTGAAAAACACTGTACTAGATTTTAACTAGATTTTAAATAAACTGAAGTGAAATGAATTTTACATTTTTCTATGTTCCCAGTACTACTTTTTGGAGCAAAGATGCCCAACTTTTGCAGCTTGGTGGCCCGGGGGGGGGGGAGGAACTAGCATGCGTGAGCACAAGCACGCACCTGTTGCGCAAGCGGTGGGCTGGCGGACACGCATGTAAGTGTCCACCAGCCCATCGCTCACACAGGTTGACCTGCATGCGTGCTCCAGCCAGCCACTCACATGGCCCAATTCTGAATAGGCCACAGCCCCATGGCCTGGGGATTGGGCACCCCTGTTTCAGAGCATGGGTGTCAACCTTTTTATTTGCCTGGGCTTCTCTGAGTAAAGAGGAATTGTCTTGAGCTGAATATAAAATATATAATACAGTTAATGTATATAAATATCACTATCAATATAAATATAAATATCAAGCTTAGTAGGATTGCAGACTTTTGGAGACTATGTGTGTGTGTGTGTATGTAGGTGTGTATACACACACACACATACAGTGGTGGGATTCAAATAGCTGAACATCCAGTTTTCTGCATGGATGCCTGGGCTCCGAGGCCTAGAACGGACTTCCAGAAGCAGCATGGGTTCAGCTGGTTCTCCGAACTCAACAAAATTTAGCTACCGGCTGAATCCCACCTCTCTCTCTCTCTCTCTCTCTCTCTCTCTCTCTCTCTCTCTCTCTCTCTCTCTCTCTCTCTCTCTCTCTCTCCCTCTCTCTCTCTCTCTCTGTGTGTGTGTGCGTAGCATGTGTATATGTGTGTTAGGTATGTGTATGGATAGATATATCCTTTGTTTTGAGAGCAGGCAACAGAATTTCATTTTTAATGTGTGCCAGTGTGCCCACAGTAAAAAATGACAACAAAGCTTATCTTACGTTATCTTACGTTACCTTGTGTTATCTTATCTTAATATATCTGAATGAATAAGGATCATAACCCAACAATTTTCTGAATTTCCTTTCAGAGACATTTTAATGATTGTAGATGCAGGTCGTATATGATTGGAAATATCACTGATGACGTACAGGAGGTATATCTTGTTTGTGGTGGCACTCCAATTTATACAGTTTCTTTATCTGTACAGAATTGAAAGCTACTTATGTTCCATGAGAAACGTTTCTTAGATGTTGGTCAAGAGCTCAAGGACATGTCTTTTAATTGTTGCAGTTCAAGGACATTTCCTGCCTCTTATTAATTATCCTTCCCCTTAAGTAGAAGACATAAAATTCAGGACCGTGGACAGCTTCTTACTAACTGGATTTTCTGCTCCTGTTGCAGTAAAAAAATCAATATAGTAGAAGTCTCTCAATAGAAAACAGAAGACTTATTTGCTCAAAAAGAGCATTTTCTCCCTAGAAATGGGGCTTCCAGAGTAGTACAGCATGATATGATGTTCATTAGGTTCCTCACCTAACTAATTCATTTTTAACATTCTTCTACTTAAAGAAAATAAATGATACGCTAGTATTCTGCAAAATAAACCATTATCTTCAAGCATAAATCGTATTTTCAAAAAAGGCCAGGACTCTACATAACACCAAGAAATGGATTTTGTTGTTGTTGTTAATTGCGAAGTCGTGTCCAACCCATCGCGACCCCATGAACAACGTTCCTCCAGGTCTTCCTGTCCTCTACCATCTTCTGGAGTCCATTTAAGTTCACACCTACTGCTTCAGTGACTCCATCCAGCCATCTCATTCTCTGTCGTCCCCTTCTTCTATTGCCCTCAATCTTTCCCAGCATTAGGCCCTTCTCCAGTGAGTCCTTCCTTCTCATTAGGTGGCCAAAGTATTTGAGTTTCAACTTCAGGATCTGGCCTTCTAAAGAGCAGTCGGGGTTGATCTCTTCTAGGACTGACCGGTTTGAACGCCTTGCAGTCCAAGGGACTCGCAGGAGTCTTCTCCAGCACCATAGTTCAAAGGCCTCAATTCTTTGGCGCTCAGCCTTTCTTATGGTCCAACTTTCACAGCCATACATTGCAACTGGGAAAACCATGGCCTGGATTATACGCACTTTTGTTGGCAGGGTGATATCTCTGCTTTTTAATATGCTGTCTAGATTTGCCATAGCTTTCCTCCCCAGGAGCAAGCGTCTTTTAATTTCTTGGCTGCAGTCCCCATCTGAGGTGATCTTGGAGCCCAGAAAAATAAAATCTGTCACTACCTCCATTTCTTCCCCATCTATTTGCCAGGAATTGAGAGGGCCGGATGCCATTATTTTGGTTTTCTTAATGTTGAGTTTCAAGCCAACTTTTGCACTCTCCTTCTTCACCCGCATCAAGAGGCTCTTTAGTTCCTCTTCACTTTCTGCCATTAGAGTGGTATCATCTGCATATCTTAGGTTGTTGATATTTCTCCCAGCAATCTTAATTCCAACTTTTGTTTCATCTAGCCCTGAAGAAATGGAGTTATTAGATTGTAAACTAGTAGATAGACCAGTATTTTGTTTGCTTTTGGTTATGTCTGTGTTTGGTGAGTGGGCAAACCCATCATGACATGCATCATTTTGTAAATCTGAAAAAATAAAAGCAGGCTGGTATTCCCCCTCCTGTTCTTAGAAATATTCATCCCTTCTAGTATCCAATTTTTAAAAACATAAAATTGCTTACCATCTTGCAATAACCAAAACAAATCTGTTTCTCCCGAGAAGTCTTTTATTCTTTATAACTAATTCTAAAATCTTGCAGTAAAAGTCAATAGTCCAAATTTATCTAGATCCTTAATCTGTTTATAACTTTGTTAAGTCAAAATCTTATTTAGCTTTTTGCTATATATTTCATTTTCTTTCTTGAGCTTATAATTAATTTTTCTTTTGTTAAGACTTCAACATAAATTCACCCAATATCCCAACGTACTGTTTGGAAGGCTTTTAATAGCTTTAAAATAGTCAATAGGCAATTTCCAAAAGTTACTAGCAAGTGAGGTTTACAAACCTAGGGTCCTTTAAAACAGGAGTTCCCCAGTCCATGGCCATTAGGAACCAGCCATGCAAGTGAGTGAAGGTTCATCTGTGTATGCGCGGGATCTAGGTAGCACGCAAAACTACACCACCACTCCCATCTATGGGATTTTTTCCCCATGGAACTGGTCCCCAGTGTCCAAAAAGTTGGGGACCGTTGCTCTAAAAGGCTTCATCATAGTTGTTCACAAGATTGCTGATCCTGTTGTCTCCCAGTAGTCAAACCCATGGAAAATTACTGTCCTTTAGTCTCCTTGAAAAGTGCAGCTGTTCAGAGAATATGTGGGCAATCTCCCATCCTTCTCTTCAATTTGTCATATTTCCCCCGAAAGTCTCTACCTGATTATACATGCATATGCTTAAATTGTGTGCATAGCCATTTTAGCCAGCTGCACTAGAAAGAAAGCAGGGTCTTTCAAAAGATTAAAAACCCAAATTACTGTATTTATGAAAAAATAATTGTATATAAATGGGTGGTTTGTATATTCAGTTTCCACTGTGGTCAGAGACTAGTAGATCAAAATAATATGTACTGTCTATAATTTGATGGTGAAGTATCCATCTGTCTATTTATTTGTTCACAATTAGCTGAATGGCAAAATGTCAGTTCCTTTGTTGGTATATTGTGAAGAAGCTTGCTTCTGTACAATATCATTCCAATGTAGGGCCATAGAATCAAAATAGCTGGTTGATGGAGAATCTGTTAACTGAATCTGAAGAATTTATACTATAGGGCATATATTTGTATTTGGGGATGGAGGTGCTTTCTTTATTACAACTCATAATTTCAAACCATGGTAGAAGCTGTGAACGGGTACCCAAAATGAAACACTCACAGATATGTTAGGTTCCCTAGTGTGATGATGATGATTGCTTACCATCAAGTCATTGTCGACTCTTTAGTGACTACCTAGGTAGCTTTTCTCCATGATGAAAAATGCAATCCAATACATTTCCCCTTGGATATTGCACTGAATTCGGTGGCATTTAGTCTCTGATTGCATCCCACACGTTGAGTCACAAAATCCTTTATGAAAGAACATAGCTCACATTTCTAGTCCGGGGCTGTCTATAACATCTGGCAGTGGATTCTCAGACTTCTTGGCAAGAGTTTTTCCAGCATTTTCTGGAGATCTCAAAGATTAAATATGAAAGTTTCTGTGTACAGAGCACATACTTGATCACCAAACTACATTTTTTTCCAAATTACTATTGAGCAGTCAATTGATGTTATCCAAGTTTTCTATGGGGTACAAAATTTGTGATGAGAAAGAGCTGTTTAAGGAGTTTAGGAACATTAGCAGAAATGAAGATGTTTATGCTTTCTTTTATTTGTTGATCCTTAGATGTAGTATCATGTTGGGGAATTACATGAAAAGAACAAGGCAGTCTGCCACATAACCTTCCTTTCACCCCCAAATTATGTTCAAATTTTCTGGATACTAGCTTATCATTATTAAGGTTGGGAAAAAAATTCAATTAACATCTATGAATGGATGTTATTTCACTTTTTGCCTTAGGCAACAAAATTACTGAGCTGAAACCAAGAGATGGCTTGATAGAGCGACTGTTGTGCTTTATCTCCAGGCTGGAATGGATGCCTTCAAATATCTTTCTTAGACAGACTGTAAACTTTTGTTTCTTACTTTTGTTCTGCAGCTCAATCCAGGCCAAAACAGCTGCCGAGACAGTGACAGTGAAAGTGCAAGCGGAGAATCTAAAGGATTTCATCGGAGCAGCTCGAGAGAGAGACTCAGTGACGTAAGCGTGACTTTTGAAGTGTATTGCTTTAGATACTTCTTACATGGACACTTAATCCAATCTGGGGAAAAAAACAACTATGAGTCAAAGGCATCTCTTTTTGTTCCAGTGCTAATGACTCAACCTCAGAGTCATTTCCATGGTATTTTTTGCAAATCAATAAGTTTAACAAAAGCTAACCTAACAAAAGCTATGATGCTTTAAAGGAAACTTTATGGGATGCTGATCGATGGACATGATAAACTGAAACACTCAGCAAGAAGTGTCCATAGTCACCTGCATGGGAGACTCTAAAAATAAATGAGATACAAGTGGTCCTCAATTTACGGCCATTCATTTAGTGACTATTATAAATTCCAATGGTGATGAAAAAAGTGACTTATGACCGGTCTTCAGACTTACCTGGCACAGTGTTCCTGTGGTCATATGATCACAATTTGGGTGTGTGGCAACTAACTTACATTTAAGAACAATTGCAACATCCTCCAGTCATGTGATTGCCACTTGCAACCTTCCCAGACAGCTTCTGACAAGCAAAGTTAATGGGAAAGCCACCAAGGAAGGTTATAAGTTGTCATCACATGATGTCTTGCTTAATTGCACTCCTTAACTACAACTTCTCCAGTCCCAATTGTGGTCATAAGTTGAAGACCATATGTATATTCATTTGGGAAGAGGCCTTCTATGAATGTTTATTAGCCATGAAAACTAAATGTCAGATATAATGCAACCCGCCATTGAAAATCAGTTATAGATGACCAATACTGGTGAGATCCAGCTTTATACTATATCTTTTTTTTTGTGAAAAGTATCAGTTTGATCAGAACAGGATGAAGTGTAGTACTCATACTCATAAATACACGGTACTCATCGTTAATTGGTTCTATGAGATTTAGTGAGAACCAAAAATGATGAGTACCAAACAAATTTTCCCGACAAGGAATAATGTAATAAGACACCGACAAATTCAAGCTTGTGTATTAAATATCAACAAATAATGAGTACCAGAACAAAATTTTCATATTAAAATAGTTGAGTACCAAATTTGATGAGTTTCAAAGCAGTTGAGCACCAAGGTGGTACAGATTGATGGATAGATGAACCTTTGTGGCCCAGTGGGAACCTTCTTCTCTTTTTCATGGTAAGTCCCTCACAAATTGTTATTGTGTGAACAGTAACAAAACACAGATATACCTAGAGAGCAAAGCAGGTTCTCTTAGTATATGTCCTCTTAATTCTAGTAGTTGGTTAAGGGGATTGAGTCCTGTACTGGGCCAATAAAAATGCAGCCAACTGGCATTTGTTAAGAATGAATTTATGGAAATATCCATGGAGCTCTTTTTAAAAACATGTATCAGGAGAGGTACCAGCGATACGTTGGGGGGAAAAAGAGTTATTAATTTCAGTCAAAATTGAAAATAAAAAGCACTGGGTCCGGGTAATGTTGGCTTGACCATGATCTCAATGGTTAGGGTTTGGAAAAGCAAAGCTGTAAGACTAGCGTTAAAATCACAATAACTGATAGCTTTGAGATAAATATGGTGTGAACACTTGTAATCCATACTCACAAGGGACGATGTCATCTGCTGGAGCAGTTGGCAGTCTTTTTGCTAATAATAATCACATGCCTGCTTCGCTAACACAGCAAAAAATTAAATCTGCTTTTCTTCAAACTCTCAAGATCTCTAGCTCACTAGTAACATTGACTCAGAGACTCAACAAGCCTCTATGATGAGATAAATATCTTGCGAGTCAAGCTAAAACAAATCATCTAGGTTTTTCTCCTGCTGAAGTACAGATTTTCTTAATTTTTTTAAAAAGGAAAAATTAGTTCTGAACTACAATTTTAAATTTGGTGCTTATTATAACTATAATAGCCCACCTCTTGCAAGGATATTATTTTTTTCTGCAGCTTGTCTAGGAAGGAGAATGGGTACTAGAGACAATGTGTTGTGGCTCCATCAATAGGAATATATAATTAAGGGAAAGTAGAGAATGTGCTTTATAGCAAAGAGTGAAATCAGTTATTCTCTGGGTTGCAACGATTGTACTACTTCTTCGAGTTATTCTATGCTCTGGCTAGTGTCAGTTTTGATGGTGCCCATTTGCAATAGCAATACATACATATGGTGGCACAGTGGTTAGATTGCAGTATTGAAGGCTAATTCTGCCAACTGCCAGCAATTCAGTTCTCACCAGCTCAAGGTTGACTCAGCCTTCCATCCTTCCGAGGTTGGTAAAATGAGGACCCAAATTGCTGGGGGCAATATGCTGACTCTGTAAACTGCTTAGAGAGGGCTATAAAGCACTGTAAAGTGGTATATAAGTCTAAGTGCTATTGCTATAACAGTTCCTGAGAAAGGGACTCAATATGAGTCTGCTTTACTCAGTGTGATTGACTGGACAGATGTTATTAGAAGAAGACATCCCTTTGCGTAGTACAATGCAATAGCACTGTGCAGATTGCAAACTCAAAGTCTGAGGCTATCATCCTCAAAGTCAAAGGCCATACAAAAGGAAGAAAGAGATACCAAGAGTGAACCTTGGTTCTGCTATATTTAGGGCTGTGTCTTATCTAATAGCTTCCCTAGTTCTCATAGTAAAAATACTCACTGAAAGTTGCAACTTTCATTTATTCCCAGGAAAGACTTCAGTTTTAGTTATGGCCAACAAAAGTCTCTAACCCAGGTTCAGTTCCCAACCTGAGTTGGCAGGACTGGAGAAGATTTTTCCTGGAGTCTGCCCCACAGTCTGACTTGATGCCTCATGTCAGTTTTCATGTCTTGGGAAAGGGTTGGACCTGAATTTAAAAGTCAACACAGGAAGACAGAGGAATTAGCCTGGCAAACAAAGCAAGAGGGAGGTGTAGGGAAAAGAAATCAGGGATGCTGGTAAATCCTGAGAAGCTAAAATGGAAGCGCCAATTCATTTAATCAATTTTTATTTCTCTATAAATAACATTTTAATTCACCTGAATAACATCTCTCAGGCTCCAAAGGGAAGACTGTTCCAGGTTTCCTGTCCTTTCCTTTCACCTTTACCTTCACCTTCAGCTTCCCTCCATATTTCTTCTACCTCTTTTCCCCTTTGGGGAATTCTGGGAGCTGAAGTCGACCATCTTAAAATTGCTAAAGTTGAAAAACCCTGTTCTGGATTGAGTTGTCTTTTATGAGATAACCTGCCAAATAACTCAGCCTCTGTCTCTTGAGAGTTCATGTCTACCCTCCTTCCATTATTTCCCTAAAATCTCACACATACTCATCCCTAAACCATGTGGAGTTGAATATTCACCTACATAAAAAGATAATATATAAAATGAGTGGATGGATGGATGAATTAATTATTAATTAATCAATGATTATAGTGATTAGGGTAGGAACATCACTGTGATGGCAGTGAGAAAGATAGGAACATCCTCCACAGCTTTGCTTTCCGGCAGTGGCTTGACCCACACAGTGGTTTTCCCCAGGCAATGAAATTTTCTGATGGACAGAGAATTGACTTTCATGGCTTTTGTGCTTTTAACCAGCACTAGTTAATGAGACAGAGAGGTGCCAAGTGTGACATGAAGAGGAACATAGACTGATAATAGCTTGTTAGTGGAGGTGACTTTAAGAGAGTGAAAATATATCTACTGAGGTTCAGTACAATCAGTAGGCATATTTGGAACAGACTATGGTTGTAGTCGTATAGTCAAGGCCATGGTTTTCCCAGTTGCAATGTATGGCTGTGAAAGTTGGACCATAAGAAAGGCTGAACGCCAAAAAATTGAGGCCTTTGAACTATGATGCTGGAGAAGACTTCTGCGAGTCACTTGGACTGCTAGGTGTTCAAACCGGTCAGTCTTAGAAGAGATCAACCCCGAATGTTCTTTAGAAGGCCAGATCCTGAAGTTGAAACTCAAGTACTTTGGCCACCTAATGAGAAGGAAGGACTCACTGGAGAAGAACCTAATGCTGGGAAAGATTGAGGGCAATAGAAGAAGGGGATGACAGAGAATGAGGTGGCTGGATCACTGAAGCAGTAGGTGTGCGTTTAAATGGACTCCAGAAGATGGTAGAGGACAGGAAGACCTGGAGGAACATTATCCATGGGGTCACGATGGGTTGGACATGACTTCGCAACTAGCAACAACAACAAAAACAACAATGCTTGTAGTAGCCATTGTAGATATCCAACCTTCCTAAGGGTGGCAGGTGAATTATGACTTTAAATCTCCATCCTAGCTCTAAAAGAGACATCAGCTCTTGGCTAAACCCAATAACAAGGATAACAGGTAGTCCTTGACTTACGACCACAATTGGGATCTGAATTTCCCTTGCAGTTGTTAAGTGAGTCATGCCCAACTTTACAACCTTTTTTGCCAGGGTTGTTCAATGAATCACCACAATTGTCAAGTGACTCATGCGGTTGTTAAGCAATCTAGTTTCCCCCATTGACTTTGCTTGTGACAATCACATGACCCCAGGATGGTACAATCATTGTAAACATACGCTACCTGTAGTTGCTCAGCACCTGAATTTTGATCATGTGACCATGGGGATGCTACAACTGTCGTAAGTGTGAGGACCAGCGGTAAGTCACTTTTTTAATGCTGTTGTAATGCGGTCACTAACGAATGGTTGTTAAGTCGAGGACTGCCACTATTTAATTAGGAGATGTTCCTTGACCTAAGCCAGGGGTTTTCAAACTCGGCCCTTTTATGACTCATGGACTTCAACTCCCAGAATTCCTCAGCCAGTGTGCCAAGTTTGAAGACCCCTGACCTAAGCATTAAAACTAGCCTCCATTCAGAAAATGGATTGCAACTCTTACCCAAGATGGATTTGAACTTCCTTCCTTCTGCCTGCAGCACATGGGAAGAAATGTTGAGAGAGTGAAGGGGAAGAAGAGCCATTCTCAGAAATAAATGTATAGGCAGAAAAATTTACCCTGTGGTAGACTAAGGCCAATTAATTAGTCAACAGCATTGAGGGGATGAGTCCATGTAGGGTATCTTG